AAAGAACTTCCAGACATGGATTTACCACTTGTCATTTGTGTGTGAACACGAACAAAAGGGAAACAAAGGCAGAGGCAGTCCAGTCCAGTGTAAAGAAGGAGCAGAGGGGAGTCTAAGAAATAACACTGTTAACAAACATAATATGTACAACCCAGGTCAAACCACACTGCCTGCTTGCTTTATTGACACATAAAGTAATCAATCCAGCTGCTGCAGAATATGCACTCTTGTTGTACTCTCATGGATAATTTGCCAAGATAGACTACATCCTTTGTTACATTTAAATAAATATAACAACAACAACAATAATAATAAAATGAAGCATTGGTAGAGGGGAAAAAGTCTTTAGAGGGAAGTTCATAGTACTACATGTATATACGAGAAAAGAAAATATCCACAAATGAAAAAAACATTGACCAAAAGAGTTATAGAAAGAAATAAGTAAGAAATATGTATATTAGAATATCTAATCAATGACACTGAAAATAATAAAATACAGAAAACTAATGAATTCAAAAATTGTTCTTGGAGACCAATAAAAACCAATACATCTCTAGTCAAGTATAATTCTGACTTTTCTTGTTGTTTTAACAAAATACCTAACAGAAGTAATTTAAGAAAGAGTGAGTTTGGGCTCGGTTTGGAGATAGAGTCCACCATGGTGGGAAGACAGGGCTCTGGTGGGTGAGGGACCTGGTCGTGTGGTCTGCAGTCTGAAGCACTGAGATGCATGCTGGTACTCCACTCAGTTTCTCCTTTGTGTCCCACATCCTCGTCTACATTCAAGGGGGATCCTTCCTTCTCAGTTAAACTGAAATGTCCCTAAGATATATCCAAATGTGTTACCTTGGTATTTCTAAATCAGTTTAAGTTGTTAGCAGTAACCACCATACCAGATAAACCAAGAAGAGAGAAAGAACAAAATACCAATATCAGAGATGGGTGGCCACTGTAGATCCATGGCACAAGAGGATAAGAGAAACTGTTAGCACCTGGATGGTCATGGCCTTGGTGACTAAGATGAATTAGATCAATTCTTGAGTGAAATAAACTACAAACTTACTCCAGGCAGAAATAGATAACCTGAGAACCTTATAGCTATTGCAGAAACTAAATCAATAATCTGTCATAATAATACAGCACAAGAACCATATAATTTTATTGATAAAACAACCAAATACTTAGGGAAAAATAACTGAATTATCCATAACCTTTTCTAGGAAAGAGAAACAGAATTCTTGTCAAGTCATCCTATGAATTCAGAATTACCCTAATAATAAAGTCAGATAAATATTTAAATACAAGAAAGAAAAACTGCATATCAAAGCCAATAAGAAATCATATACTCAGGAAATAACTTTTTCTAAATATACAACACACTCAAATAAAAACTCAGTGACTTTACTTCATCCATAGGAGGAAAAATAGAAATATCATATAATGCTAGTTAATGGAGAAATAACATTTGACAAAACATTCTCCAGGA